ATCTTGTTGGCGTCTTCGATGAAGTTGAGGTCGGTGAGGAATCGGCCGAGGTAGGGCACCAGCGGCGGGTTGGCGTCGCGAACGGCGCGTCGATACTTGCTGAAGTTGTTGGAGATGCCCATCAGCTCCTTCAGCTCCAGGAACTCTGGCGATTGCACCGTCTGCTCTCGCCCGGGCAAAGAAACGAACACAAATCATTAGCACTACGCCGGATAGCAGCAAGACCCCCCCTTCGCGGGAAGGAATGAAAGGGAGGCGCTGACGGTACCCGCTTGGCTTGCAAGAGTCGAGAAACTGGAGCCGAGGAGAAGGCGGCGAGGATCTCTTGCACGGCGTTAAAGTTGTTGAGCGTTCGGCAGCACTAAGAATGACCGGCGACGTGAGATTGCGGGCGTTCAGCACCAGCGGGAAAAGACGGAGAATGTGTGTACCTGAGCGATCTTGACGATGTGGTCCATGACAGACTCCCGTTTGCGCGCCGACTCCTCGTTGACAATCTGCGTTATGAACCATTGCACTGCCTGCAAGCGCAAAGCGAAGGAGAACTCGCTTTAGCAGCACGATTGAGCCGAGCGCGCGCGCCAGCCGCAGGCACTACGAACCTGATTGAAGTGCGAGACCAAGGCCATCACGTTCGGTGCTCGCTTTACCTTGTCAGGTTCCATCCACGCCTTCTCAACGAGTTCCTGTCAGGTTCAGATCACGGCGCGGTGAGCAAGAGACTCAAGACGGCGGGCAGGAGAGCGCTGGGGGAGTACGATCGGCTTGATGCGTGCAAAGATGTCGTACTCGACCAGCGTCAGCTGGCGAGCCAGTTCGATCGGTGACACCTGCAGCACGGTTCGTAGCGGACGCTTGCTCGGCATGCGAGGCTTGGGCGTCGCTTCGCTGAACATGAGCTTCACCTCTCCCTTCCCGGCCTGAGAAAAACGAAGCCGTCAGTGATCTCAGTCTTACACTGTACGCGCCAGATTGGGGTTTACGCCGCCGGGCAAGGAGCTCTACCTTCATCTTGGCGAGCGTTGGCGCCAGCGTTCGCACCACTTGGATGTCCTTGCTACCCGACACGAATTGTTCATAGGCCTACGCAGTGAGTGAGCCGAGGCTAATGTTAGCGCACAGCGATTACCACCAACAGCTTCCCACCGCCAGGCCTTGCTCACCTCCAGCAGCTGCGGGTCATCCTGGAACTCGTAGAACTGCTCCCTCGTCCACTTCTTGAGGAAGGCACAGATTCTGTGTGGTGGGTCCTTGTGTGAGTCCAATGGAAGCGGCGCCCGTGCTCAATTTAGAGGAGTGCAGGATCGAGAGTGGGAAGTGTACCGCATGAGTGCGACTTTGTTCTGGTCGTTCTGGTTGGAGAGTTCCAGATAGAGGTGCGTCATCGAGTCCAACAGCTCCGCCGACGTGGCCCACGAGTGGTAGGTGAGGAGAAAGACGTTCACATAGTTGGCGTCTGCCACATGCCACCATCAACGCGCCACCATTAGTGGTGCTTGGGTCGAAGGAGGTGCGAGAGGTACTGGGAGGGGAAGTCTACATGACGCAGGGATCAGGCCCTTGGGGCAGGTGTAGATGGTGCGGAAGAGGGTCTCCATGGTGGCCGACTTGATTTGTCTCCGGGACGGCATGAGCACGATCTCCTCGCTCTCAATGTACTCCAGCGAATGCTCCTCGAGCTCCTGTCCCATCGCGACGCGAAGAAACGCCGACAAATCAGAAGACGAACGCACAGGGAGAGAGCGAGGGAGAGAAGTGCAGTGCGTACGGGGAATAGAGTGTAGGCCTTCTCGATCAGTATGGTGCAGACGGCGTACACCGAATGTGAGGCCTCGAGCGACGCCTCCAGGCTTACGTTGTCCGTGTGGCGGAGAATATTAGGTCCGATGCACACCGCTAGACAGGAGGCGCGAGTGAGTCAATAGAAGATGGTGGTGGTGATGATGAACCAATCCCTTCTCCCCTTCATGATGAAAGAAAAACTGAGGGTTGAACCCGAAAGACACGTACCGAGATTGTGCGCGTTCATCTTGGAGGTTTCCTCAGAGGCCACCCGATGCAGCAGTTTGAGCAGACACTTGAGGAGGGCAATATGGTCCTTGGGAAGCTGCCCCAGAAGGTCCTTCACGTACTCCAATGGAGTCGCATCTGGATTCACATGCGAGAGAGGAGCTCGTTGAGATGTGAAGGAGAAGAGACGAAGGGGGCCGGTGCGGAGGTACCGTTGACGATGATGAACTTGGAGAAGAGCTCGGGGACGATGAGCGGCCGCCGAAGCTCGCGCAGATACGCCTTGAGCAGCATGGCCATCAGGTGAGGCTTATTCATCGCGAACAGGTCCACTTCAACTCCTGCAGTCGGTAGCGAAGGGGAATGCCATTGCTGGTCAGTGGGCTATCATTTGGGTGTGGAAGCAGGCCACGCCACTCAAGAACGTGTACGAACCGCGATTGATCTTTTCGATGAACAGTTTGGCGTCGGTCGACGAGTCGGTGACGCGGAAGAGACCCTCCTCCCGCACTGTATTGTTTCGAGATCAGAAGAACAACCGGCTTTTGAAAACCACAACCACTTGGAATGATCAGGGCGTACCGTGCATGTACAGGTAGCGGATCACCTGATCGGCAAAGAATGGAATCTGCAGATGGAGACAGAATCGAGAGTACCGCAAATTGGGAGGAGGTTCAGTTGCGTGTGTGAGAGCTGAAGGGGACAAGGAAGGGAGGAAGAGATACGTCAAGTTCGAGCCACGACTCGCGCAAACGCTGGGCCTCCATGGAGGTAATGAGGTCGCTCCCGAACACGCGCTTGTCACGTCCCGAATCGCTGCGAGGTCGCGAGTCGGTCATCCGCCTCCCGCCCACCATCACGCCCGATCCGCCGCCCGGCGAGAACGACCCGCTGCTACACGCCCAGGCAGGAAGTGGCAGTCACTCCACGTCAGCACAACCGCAGGCGCTGCGCTAGACAAGGGCGGGGGGGCTCACCTGGTGTTGAGGGCGCTGCTCCTTCGCCATAGGAAGCGCTCCTCGTCCTTCTTTTCCTTGGGCATGAGCTTCTTCTCGGCTTCGTCGAGCATCCGCTTGGCCTCCTCCTCGATGTTGTGCACGGCGGTGAGCGTGTCGATGAAGGGGAACGCCAGCACGCTCTGGTAGGCCTCGATGAACTCGTTCACCGTGGGGAAGGTGGGGATGTAGGCATTCTCGGGGACCTGCTCGAGCCTCTGCCGATACACTCCTGCTGACGCACACGCACACGCACACGCACACGCACACGCCTTGGTTAACAAACACTAATTGGATTCAAAAAGTGGGAGGCTGTGCACGTACTCTGCGTTGCTGCTGGATCGACAACCTTTTCGATGAGAGAGTGCAAGATCTGCCCATCATTACCCACATATGCTATCGCCAGACATGTGCGCAGTCGACTGCTAAACCGCAGCAAGAACGTGCCTGTAATGATCGCGTGCGTGGTTGATAAGTGTGTTCCCCGCGGGCATAAAGGCGCATCCCCTCAATGGGTTAGGGTTGAATGAAAATATTGGCATACCTCCGGGCTGGTTGTTCAGCATTCGAATGGTCTCTTGCGAAGAAAGGTCGGCGTAGAACCAGGGCTCGGTGTTCAGGCTGGAGGCGTAGGGCCGAACCAGAATACGCTGGAAGTGACCCACCAGCGCCGGTGCACTGCTGAAATGCCACAGTTGACCTGATTACCGCAACGCCACACATGAGGGAGCCCCCCCCCAAAAACAAACAACAAAAACAAACAAATAACACACACACAAGTCAGAAGCATCCCTCGGAGACAAAGCGTGCGTGCGGTCCGCACCATCTTGCTCCACCGAGAACCCGCCCAAGACGAGCTCGCCTTTGCCCGGAATGTTGAGTTTCTTCTGTCGAGCTGCAGCTTCCTCGTGGTTGTGGATCATGATGTGCAGAATCGTGGACGGCGTTCCTGAATAGGGTGCAAGCAAGAGAAGGAAAGACTTCATCGTTAAGTGTCTGCCGAGATGCAAAGCTTTCAACTCGGCGTCTGTGGATGGGCGCGTACCGGCCGAGTGCGTGAGTGCGATGGCCAGGGTGCCCGGAAGCAAATTGATGTGGCGCACTAGGAAGGTGCCTGGTGGTTCCCCTTCGAGCAGGCGTTCCGCCTCATAGTGTGACGTATATCCGTGGTACCATCTGCCACGAGGTTGCAAACCAGTTGATATTAGCAATAGTGGGTACGAGAGCTGAGGGTCTGGCGGTAGTGCGTACTCTTTCGAGACCAGATCGGCGAACTGCACACAATCGGAATTAAAAAGACGAGGGTATTAGAGGTCAATGCAATGAGGTTAGAGGGGTTGAAAGCCTATCTTTGGGGGCAGTACCTTTGTGAGGCACTCAGAAAATGGAGAGAATCTGAAATACGCACAACGCCATGAGAGGAAACGCAACAGGTCAGCAAACGAATGGGCGTAGCGAGGGAAGACGCGCTGTACCCCTTCAGGAAGTCTCGAAATCTGATGACGCTCACCATCTCTGACCTGGCCGGATCTAAATCCCACAGAAGCAGCGGCACAAGGAGAAGATTAGCAACCCACTCTTGGGGAAGGGGCCGGAGCGAGCTAGCGTTACCTAGCACGGTGGCCAGGTGGTCTGTTGCTGCTTGCGAGGGGGAGTAGCCCAGGTGGGCGGTGATTGCATGAAAGAAGTCCTCCCACGAAACCATGAACTTAAGCGGCTGGGGGAGTGACATATCCGTTAGTGCCGCAACACGCAAAGAGTGCCGCTGTCTGGGTCGTTACCTCTTTGAAGTTGGTTGCCCAAAAGGCAGCGGCCTCGGGGGACACTGGAGTAAGCAGATCGCTCACATTGCCCTCAATTTCCTCGAGCTCCTTCCACTGCTCACTGTCGTGATGGCTCCCGGTGGAGGCTATCTCCTCATCGTCCTCGGACAGCTTGTCGTCTTCATCGCCTACGCCCGATTCTCCTGTGACTGCAACAAGAGCCCGTGAGTAAGGCTCACCACATGACACACACACACACACACACACACCAGCTGATGTGAGGTCACCTTCTTCCTGCTCCATCTGGCGCAGAGCCCGGTGCTGGCAATAGTCGCGATAGCCGCTGAGCTCGCTGAGCCATCGGAGGTACAAGAACTTGAGCATTCGATACAGCGAATCGATCAAGAGTTGCACATCTGTTAAAGAGGTGAGAGACAGAATAGGTGAGTGGCGAGTTTGCTCAGACACACGACGAGGCAAACGTGTTCGTGTGCGTACCCTTCCGTCTTCTGACGCTGCCGCATTGAAAGTGCTTGGGGTCGATGGCCTTGAGCATCTGCATCAGCTTCTCGCTGATCAGGCTCACCTCTTCCGCCGCCAGCAGCACCTCGCGTCTCTGCTTCTGCGCCTATGTTCGCGCACAGCAGCCATCGACATGAGTTCATGAGTTGTGGCCACACATTTCAAATGTCGCCGGTTCCTTGCAACTGCCAACTCCGAAAGCTCTTCGCTCTTTGGCAGCGACGTGCCGCCTTCGCTCTTCCCCCCCCCCCATATTGCGCCTTTTGATGGCCGGCAACCACAAAGATGAAAGAGACAGGGACCATACGTGTTCAGAGTCTGGCGCGGAGGGGGCGGGTGTGGAGGGACTGAGGCTCGCCATCTTGTCCATGCCACGGCGCAAGCGGCGCAGAAGGAGAGGTACGGCAGCCCACTCGGCAAGGGCCTCCCCGAACTCTTTGGCCAGTGGGGCGAGGGCGGGCGGGAGCAGGTTGAGCGTCTCGAAGACCTTCACTAGCCTTTTCTCGTACACTCCCTTCCAGTCCAAGTGCCCCCCTCCGCCAGCAGCCTGAGGCGCCTCATCTCCACCTTGGTCGCTCATCGCTTCCGTTCGTGCGAATCAAGCGATCCTTTCCGCCACCTCCTGACCTGTCTCCTCCTGCCAATCTTGTGCAGTGCGCTGAGTGTCAAAAATTATTATATCTATTTTTATTGTTAACAAAAAGAAAAAAAGAGAGAAACGCGTCGCCAGACCGTTTTGGTTTTTTTGTTTCTCATTTTTTCCTATCGCCCAGCTGCCCAGCCCGCTGCACATCCGGACGGTACGTCTCTGTTCACGCATCGACTCCTTTGTATTATTGGATGATGACAACGTATCCTATATACAAACACAGTGAATGTTCCGTGTGCTTTAGTCTTTCGCTCTGACCTCAAGAATTACAAAAATCAAGCAAACAATCCTCCGGAGTGCTAATTCCTTTTTATTCTGCAGTGCTTCGATCCGTTGACGCTGTCATGAAATGCTCTAGAAGCTCTTTTGGTACCACCACCTCCTGCTTCAATAGCAACTTTTCATTTTACATGATGAAAGCAAACCTGTCTTTGTTCGAACGTGAAGATACCGTGAGCGCTAGTCTTTCGCTCTGATTAATTATCTTGCTTTTGCCTTTTTTTTCGTAATCAACACCGCACCGCCACTAATCTCTCTTCCTCTTTGCGTGCAGGGTACCCACTTCCCTCCTCCTCCCCTGTCCTGGCCACAAGCTCTCTCCGAATAAAGATTTGTTGTTTCAATTTTGCCCAAGATTGTAGTATCGAAGTCCACGCGCCAAAAGCCAGGCGTAGTTTACTGCTTGGGGGTGAAGGGAAGGTCAAAGCTGCTGCTGTCGCTGCTGGGAGGAGTGTTGTCCTCCGTCTGGGCACCGGTCTCCGATCCTGCAGCGTTGGTGGATGTGCTGCTGCCGCTCCTCTTCTGCTGTGCGGCCGAGATGTTCTTATTTTGTGGTGTCAAGAGGTGGGGGGTACGTTAGCACGGCCACAGCTCCAGACGCACCAGGGAAAGGAGGCCTGCACTGAGTACCTGGTAGATGGTGAGCGCCTGCGCGACCATGCTGGAGACGTCACCGGCATTGGTGGGCAGAAGGAGGGTGTTGCCCTTCTGCGCCAGCTCGCCAAAGGCCTTGACGTACTGCTCGGCGATCACGAGCGACACGGCGTCGCTCGCCTTCGATTGATGAAGGGCCTTGGCCACCCTCTCCAGACCCTCGGCCGTAGCCTCCGCTCGGGCTCTGATTGCGTTGGCCTCACCTTAGACGCCGGAGGGAAGGAACAAGCGTGAGGAGCGAGCTTGAAGACGCGCAAACAACAGCTCTGTGTGTCGTGTGTGTCGTGTGTGCCATGTGTGTCGTGTCGCTCACCTTCGGCATAGAGTTGCTTCTCCAGCTTCTTGGCCTCGGCGGCGAGAATGGTGGCGGTCCGCTGACCCTCTCCTCGGTTGACCACGGCAGTCCTCTCAGCTTGAAAGGGGCGAACGCGTCGTCAGCATTGTGGGCCATACGCCCTGCAGGCTGAAGTGCTCTCCCAGAAGCAAAGATTATGCGGGACTCACCTTCAGAGCGGATGACCTTCTGCCTCCTTCTCCTCTCGGCGATCATCTGCAGCTCCATGGCACGCATGGCCTTCACTGGCGGCTTGATGTCACCTGCGCACGCGAAACGCCACCTTCATTATAGCCGGTCTCGTGCATGCGCTCGTTCTGGTGGAGAGGTAGCGCGTACGGATTTCGTATCTGTCGCAGTGAAGACCCCAGCTGTCAACGCTCTTGTTGATCTCGTTGACGATGGCGCGGTTCATGATCTCGCGCTCCTCGAAGATCTTCTCGAGGTCCAGCTTGCCGACCTCCACACGCATGGTGCTCATGGCCAGCTGCTGAATGGCGAACTCGGGGTCGTCGATGTTGTACGACGCCTTGTAGGGGTCCACGATACGGTAGTACAGAATGCCATCGATTTCGATGTTGACGTTATCCTTCGTGATGCCCACTTGATTCGGGATCTCGAGGGTAACCATCTGCGCAAGCGGACACCAGTGCGAAAACGACCAGAGCATTAGGGCCCTTTAAACCCACAACAGAAAGCAAGCAACGGGTGTGATGCGAATACCTTCAGCGAGTGACGGTAGGCCACCCTGTCGACGAAGGGGATGAGGAAGCGCAGGCCGGGTTCGAGCACCTCCTTGTACTTACCAAATCGTTGTACCACCCAACCTAGATAGTACGCCCAACGACACGCAAGGGCAACAACGCGTTCCTTTCGTCGTGAGCTCTAACACACAAAAAAAGAGGTACTGGGACCCGAAGCACGCACCCTCCTGCTGGGGAACGAAGAGTACGCCAAGATTTGTGGGCAGTCTCTGTCTGGAGTAGCGCCCTACAGCGTACAGACGAAGGGATCTTGTCTCGAGGGGGCGCAGACGCTGCAAACACACCGATTAAGGCCATTAGAAATAAAACCCAATTATACGGTCGATTAAACATTTACAAGAATTACGTGATGGATCATCCAGTGCGGGGGGGGAGGGGAAGACAAGTACCGTGGCGAGGGTGCTGCTCGCGGATGTAGAGCGAATGGCACCGGTGGCGCAACGGGCAAGAGCACCGTAGTGACTGGGCTGAGCACAAGCACGCCTCATTGATGCTATAGCAAAACAAAGCGTAGTTGGCACGATCGTGTGTAGCCCCGCGAGCACGATGATTTGTTGTGGATTATTCGAATTTGCTGGCTTGACGCGCGAGGCATTCCAACCATGTTTGACATTTTTGCCGACAAAGAAAGTCGAAGAGAAACATGCGTGCCTCTTCGTCGCCACCGCTGGGTGGGTGTAAACCGAGCGACCATCAGCAGCCGTGCTTACGGCTTGCCAACGGTTGGCTGGCGGGGCGCGAAGCCACCAAACCTGTGGAGTGTCTGGGGAGACGAGCGGTAACGACAGCGACGAACCAGAAACGCTACGTTACCGGTGTTATATAACTCCTTCCACACACTCGAGTGTTTCAATTTCGTTCTCGACCTCGCACACCCAACCTTCCCTACCCCAACAACCTGTTGAGGTACCTGTCCTTTCTCGCTACACTGCATCCACAATGCACTTCTTGTCATCTTTTCTCGTCGCTTTCAGCGACTGTCAAGTTAATCGAGCCTTCCCAATCTTCATCTCCATCTCTCATCTCCCTCAAACAGTGGTAATCAATAAGCCCGTGCTTCTTCAACGATCTTCATTTACCAATAATGGCCGCCACGCTCGCAATCCCTCTTCCTCCTCGTCCGGTCGAACTGGCCTCGTTCATGCCCTCTTCGGCGCCGCTGCTCTCCGTCAGCGAGCGAGCCAGACGGCTCCACCGCCAACTGGCCTGGCGCCGCGCGCGCGGCTGCGACCCGTCCTACGTGATGGAGCTCGACGGCACCACCATCACCACTCTCCAGACACCGTGCGGCGAAGTAAAGGGGCTCGGCACCGGCGCCTCCGTGTGGGACACCGCCATCGTTCTCGCCCGGTACCCCACTCCCACCCCTCTCCTCACTTCTCCCTCGCCCCCGCTCTCTCGTCGCGCCCTTGGCAACCCTTCGTTCTTCGTTTCGTTTTTCGTTCTTTTTTAGCTCCGTTTGGGTGCCCAATTCCCGATAATTTGCACGTGTCCCTTTGCTCACGAGCGATTCTTCCGGCTCTGCGGGTGCAGATATTTGGCCAAGGAGCGGACCAACTTCAACCCCAAGAAGGTCGTGGAGCTGGGTAGCGGCAACGGGCTGCTCGGGATGGTCTGCGCCGTTCTCTTCGGTGCATAACCAACCCACCCGCGTCATTATCGCCACTTAATTTCTCTCTCTGGCGTGTAGACGCATAGACTTACCAACGTCTTCTTCGTCTTGTCTTTCTCGGCGTTGATGGTGCAGAGGAGGCCAACATTACGCTCACGGACCAGAAGCCGCTGCTGCCGCTCATCAAGCAGAACATGGCGCACAACGTCGAAAACATCCCCCAGCTGGCCCGAGTGGCGGTGGAGGAGTACAACTGGGGCGAGGAGACGGCGATGAAGGACATCAACCTCATCATCTGCTCCGACTGCGTGTACGACATGGCGCCGTGGGACCTGCTGGTGGACTCGCTGCGGCTGCTGTGCAGCAGCGGGGACGAGTGCCGCGTCATCATCTCCATGGAGCACCGCTACAGGAGCACCGAGGAGAAGTTCTTCAACTACGCCTCCCAGCACTTTGACATCCACACCATCCCTCGCGTACGTTATACGGCCTCCTCCTCCGCTTTCTTCGTTCTTTTGTGCACTCGCAAGCTACAGGCAGGCAGCTGACGTGTTTCTGTGTTATCGAATGCAGGAGGAGCACGATGCTGACTACTGTGCGGACGATATCGACCTCTACATCCTCTCCTCACGGCGATGATAGCTCGCCTCTGGTGGTCGTGATGGTTGAGGGTGGGGTAGGCAGCTTCTCTAAGTAGAACAAGAGCTCACGGCGCTCGCTTCGAGTGGGCAAGCAGAGCCGATGCACTGTATTTTTAGTATCTTTATAAACAAGCACTCAACTCCCACTTTCGCAACTATATGGAGTACCGATGTGGGGGTGCTAGGTGCTGCTGGTGGCGGGGGCTATCCAGGGCCAGGCGAGGGAGAGCAGATCGATCGACATGACGAAGCTGAAGAGGAAGAGCGACATATCGGCAAACACACGCCCGAAGGGAAGCGAGAAGAACCACATCCCCGCTGCCGAAGGCTCTTGCAGTCGCGGCGCCTGCACCGTCACCAACACCGCCCGCCACCATCGGTGAGTGTGATGTGGGAGATGTTGAAGGGCTTGATGGGAGGTAGGCGAAGTACCAGAAAGCGACTGCTGAGAATGGAGACGAGAATCAGGGCGGCCTCAAGCGTGAAGAAGGGAACCATGACAGACGAAGAGCGGACGTTGAGCCACGCCCCCGGCTCATCCGAAGCCAGCAGCCGCACCAGCACGTTGTCCCTGTTCGGAAGTGTCACGAGATGATGGCCATCATGACGACGCGAGTCAGCGCACCTTCATGAGAGCTTAGTGGCAGAGCTCATCAGTGCGGGTTCACGTACTGCATGACGGGAATATCGGCGAGGAAGAACGCACAGCCGAGCACGATGGCCAGCACGACGATGCTCA